CCCAACTGCTGAGAACGACGTTTTTGGGATGTACGGCAGCAATATTCTCGGCCGATCGCCTTGGTCGACTTTTATATGGCCTCTTCGGATTAGAAGGAGCCTTACCAGTGGTGTTCTTAGAAGGCGCACTTCTCACATTTTTTAATGTTTTAAAAGCACGTTGAGTTTTCACAATTGACTTCTTCTTTTGAATGTAAATTTCAACTATTTCAGAGCGCTCGCGTGGCGTGTATTGGTTCATGGTAAAAATCTGCGTGGACTGACGCTCCAAACGCGGTATGTCGTTAAGCGATGTGACATCTCTGTCAAAAGTTATGGCGTTGCCAGGTGGGTCCGTCGAATGGACAGAAGGACGGACGGACATGCATAAATCGACTCAGAATGTGATTCTATGCAGATCATCAAAAGGAATTATTGTACCTCGTGTCCTTTTGTCTTTTACAAACAAATGCCCAAAGACATAATACTCTGACCACCTGGTGGTGTAGGGTATAAAAATGTAGGCCTTTAACCAATATCTAAGTACGGCACAATATTTCGGAACAAAAGTGATGTGAAAAGATTTCCCTTGTGTCGTCATCTAGGATATAAAAATAAAACACATATTTCTTGCATATTTTACGTCTTTTATACAATTGTTGTATGTTTTTATTTAAAATATATTATCTCAATTTTTTTTCTCATATGTTTTATAGTTTTTTCTTGTTGTCTATAAATTTTTTTCATTAAAATTATATTACATGCTATTCATTTTTGTGTGTTTTCTTTTGTTGCTACGTTAGCGATATAGCTAAAAATAAAAATATTTTTATTTCAAAAATACATTTTGTTTGTTGTTTTTAGCATTTCTTATTGTCCATTTAAAAGTAATGTACATTAGTGTTTCAATTTTTTTTCTTTCAGAATAAAAATCAATAGTAGTAATAATACAAGAGCACATGTTTATACAGGTTTGGTTTTTTACAGTATATAACTTTCATACAATAATAGGTTGCCGAAAATGGACATTTGAAATTTATTATTTGTTTTCTTTTTTCATATTTTTATTTATAAGTAGAATAAATATATTTTTTAAAAATCCTTTTTAAAAGAAAGGCCCATATTGATATTTTATTTCGATTTCATTCATATGCATAGAGAAAATAATATTGAAAAGTAGGAGGGGTGTACATTTTAGAATTGAGAACAATAATTATTGGGAAAGATATAAATTGTGCTTGATAACAGCTTTTGTGTTTTGGAGTATAGAAATTGAATTAATTTTCTTTTAAAATGAAATAAGAGGTGCCTGTTGCCTAATGTTTTCCAAGGTTTTCGTATATTCGGCAATATATTGGTTTGTGTAGCAACATTGGGAAACCAACACCTCACTTTTTTTGCTATTGTTAAATTTTATCACATTCTTATGTTATAAAATATTTTTAAAAAATTAAAATCATTTTTTTTTAATTCTTTGTTATATGACATTTTCTTTTTTGTTCCCATTATTAATTGATATTTTTCATTATTTTTTCTTTCTTTCTTTCTATTTTGCTGAGGTCTAATATCAAATCTAATAAATTCCTTTTTAGAGCCTTATTTTTGTAAACTTAAATTAATTTACTAATTATAAAATAAAATATGGCATTGTGCCTTTAAAAGATCCATCCAGGTGTCTTTTGAAGGATATTGATTTAATTTTTTTTTATATAGATTTTTTAATATAGATATTGGGTACAGTTGGAGATGTGAGAAGAGGACATTTTTGATTGGTTATTACGTGATTTTTTACATTTCAATAAGAGAAAGTCTACAAATAGCCAATATTTATTTTTGAAATCGAAATTTTTACACCTTTTTCGAAGATTCTAAAATATGCTTCTATTCAATTTAGTAAAAAATTAGAAAGGCAAAATCTAACATTTATTTTCTTTATTGTGGAAATATAGTCCAAGGATTTCTCAAGGACTCTAAGCAAAATAATTAACCTTCATATGGACCCCCATAAAATTAAGCAGCTTTGAACAGAATAAGGCAGGAAGCACTGTAATATGAATATTACACCCAAAATTGGTAAAAAAAGCAAAACAATATTTTGTAATGCTGAAAAAATAATGATCGTTTTAACGAAGTTTTGATTTAGCTGTCATTTCTTTTATTTTTCACATATAAGTTTGGAAAGTTTTTGGAAATAAGCGTTAGAATAAACTGAATTAACTCGGATGTGCTCGACATTTTTGAAGAACTTTGTTTTTCTTTTTATGGAAGTTTTGACTTAGCTGCAACACTAATTTTCACTTATTACACGGCAGCTATGTAAATTTTCGGAAATTAGGAATTACAATAAACTGATTTAACTTGGCAATACCTACAATCAGTTCAAGTAGTTTTGATTCCTTTTTTAGGAAGTTTTGACTTAGCTGCCACACTTACTAATTCTCATATTTTATGTGGCAGCTATGTAAATTTTCGGAAATTAGGAATTACAATAAACTGAGTTAGCTTGTCATTGCATAACATCTGCAAAAGTAGTTTTGATTTATGTTTTTGAGAATTTTGACTTAGCAGCCAAACCTATTGTTTTTTACATATGTTGTTGTAGGCATGAATAATTTACGGAAATGATGGATAGTAATAAACAGATTTTTTGGCTGAACTTAACCTTTTTAAAATAAGATTTGACTTGATTATTTAAGGATGTTTTGACTTAGCTGCCACACTTACTTATTTTCACATATCATATGGCAGCTATGAAAATTTTCGGTAATTAGGAATTACAATAAACTGATTTAACTTGGCAATACCTACAATCTGTTAAAGTAGTTTTGATTCCTTTTTTACGAAGTTTTGACTTAGCTGCCTCACCTATTATTTTTTACATATGTAGTGGTAGGCATGGAAAATTAACGAAAGTCTGGGCTTAGCCTTTTAAAAAGAAGATTTATCTTCATTATTTAAGGAAGTTTTGGCTTAGCTGCCACACTTACTAATTTTCACATATCATGTGGCAGCTATGTACATTTTCGCAAATTAGAAATAACGGTAAACTGAGTTAGCTTGGCATTGCATAACATCTCCTAAAGTTGCTTTGATTTATTTTTTAGAGAATTTTGACTTAGAATTTAGTTGCCAAACCTATTGTTTTTTACATATGTAATTTATGGAAATGTTGGATCATAATAAACTGATATATCTCGGCTAAACTTAACATTTATAAGAGAAGACTTGACTTGACTTTTGACTTAGCTGCCAAATATACTAATTTTAACATATATTGTGGCAGCTATGTACATTTTCGGAAATTAAAAATTGCAAGAACCTGAGTTAGCTTGGGAAATTTTAGAAAATTAGGAATTTCATAATAACCTTAGTTAACTCGGTAGTGCCTGACAATTTTTAGAGGGTTTTGATGAATCTTTTAAGCAAGATTTAACGTACCTGTCACATCTATTACTTTTCCAACATCTTGTAGTGGTTATGGATATTTTTCGGAAATTAGGGATTATTACAAACTGAGTTAACTCGACAGTACCTAACATTTTCAAAGGAAATTTTGTCTTTTTTTTTAACAAGTTTTGACTTAACTGCCACATGTTTAATTTTCCACATATATAGTGATATGTATGCCAATTTTTCGGAAATTAGGTATTTTAATGAACTAAACTGAGTTAAATCAGCCCTACTTACTTCGTTTTTAATGAAATTTTGACTTAGCTGCCACAAATGTAACTTTTCTATATCTTGTGGTAGATATGAAACTTTGTTGTGCCTGATAATTTTAAGGGGTTTTTTACTCTGATTTTTGGTAAGTTTTGACTTAGCTGCCATACCTATTGAAAAAATAAAATAAATCTTTACCCAGTCTATGCTCGGAGGCGTTAACGATGGGCGATTAGCTCTCCCTCTCTCGCTAAACAGCACAGAAAATGTTGAGAGTATATTGGAACTGTTATTGTATGTGTGCTCTTAGCAAGTGCCCACGATTCAATGATTGGAGAAAGTGTTTTCGAACCTCTCTTAACAGTTTTGATTGCCTGAAAATTTGAAAAAATCCGTGATTAAGTTAAGAGACACTGAGTTTTTTTGACTAAGACAGAAGAAAAAACCAGTGGATTTGGAATCCAAACTTTGGATTCCTAGAGATGAAAAGCTCGGGTTATCAATGGAGGTTCTTTCTGCTGATTTCTACACTAATAAGTGTATGAAAAAACTTTTAAGAACACAGTGAAGTCTGAGAAAATAAGAGGTAATGCAAAGACGAAGACGACCAGAACTCAGAGCGCAACTTTGCTCATTTTCAATGGGGAGCAAAATTACTCGAAGAATGGGAGTTTTGTTTTGCGGAGTCTACTCTTCACTTGAAGCCCAGTTTCCACATCGTGTTAGAGTCATATGTAAAGTGATTTTTTTTTTAATTTTATAGTTAACATTTTTGTAGCATGCATTTAAGCGCGCCAGACTATTTTTGAACTTTAACAAAAATACCGAATATCGTTAGGTATTATGCTGGATAGGTAGGAAGCTATATGGGCTATACGAATTCGTGGGCATTGGCCATTAGCCATTATTCTATGTGGGTTTGAAAGTCTGAATTTTTCCAAATGTAGGGCTTATCGATTTTGTTTCGCTTTTACATAATAGCAAAATACGGCGATTTTGGCTTTGTGAAGACCTGTCCTCCGGAAGTGGCTGAAATAGCATATTTGGAAAGCAAAGAATGTTTAATGTTGGCTAAGGTTTAAAATATCTCCGATACAATGTTGGACCTTAGATATTGGGGTTTCAAAAGTCCTAGCCACATTATTCTACCAGAGGGCTAGTAATTTTGTATTGTGCGATTGTAATGATGTTAGGGTAAGGCTTCCAAAAATATTTCCAAATCTTGAAAAATTTCTTAAATCTCCTCAATTTCAAAAAAGGTCCTCTCACTCTCCACCTCTCACATCACCAACTAAAAAAAGAATCTCTAATCAAATGACAAACAAAAAAGTATTACGAAATAAAAAGACAGGGCACAGAAATTCTTTTCTTAGATAAAAATTAATAATAATAATAATAAAATCTAATATACATTATTTAGAAAAGTTCTTAAATATCAGCATAATGAATCTACGGGAAGCTGGTCTTGTTTTATGGAAAGACGACGCGATGATTTCGCTTTCAGGCTGGTATTGCTGCTACTGTGATTTATGTTGGAGCCATTGTTGTTATTGTTGTTGTGGGTGCTCGAACCATTTGTGGAATTGATTTTTTCATTAATACTTTGGAAGTTTGTGGTTATCGATGGCAGAATCGATGAACCGCCCACCGTAAACGAGGGCGTATTATTATTTAAAGGTTCCAATTCGGTGGCCAGTGCACCATTGGGTATGGAATTTGAGCGTGTGTGTAGGCGGCCGGAATCCAGGGACTCATCACTGGCCGGATCCATGTGATCCACTGAGGCAACGGAAGAAATGTGTTTCAGGAGGCCGGCAGATAAGGCGCGATCTGTAAGGACAATAAATTGATATTATTCTTTCATAAGATCAAAACAAAACAAGCCACCACTCACCCAAACCGGCTTTGTGATTTTTACTATACTCCTCCTTGAGATCATCCAACTCTTTGGACGAGCACAACGGCGTATCCACATCATAGGTGTTGTTGAAGAGCGTATAATCGACTTCATATTCACCGGTTTCTTTGCGGAATGATACAACATTGACAAAACGATGACCCCACAAAATTTCCGAGGGTAAATAACTGCTGCGGGCCTGTGTTGTCATGCCGGTTGACTCAATAACGCCCTCTATTGAGAAAAAATTAATTAATTATGATATGGTGTGTACAGTACTTCAGTTCAACTTACCCAACATACAAACCACCTCAAACCGCTCTTTTAACATATCGGATGCCGATAACATATACAACGGACTATGCCTATCGATTTTATGCACAATTGTTGTGGGCCAAATGAACATCAGGCGATCTTCGCCACCATCGGCTCCCACTTTCAACTCTTGTTGATAGAATGGCAGGACTTCTCCTTCTTTTGTTACCTAGAAACGAAATTTGAAATAAATAATATTGTTATTTATGAAGTCAATAAAATGAGAATTTTGTTATTCTGGTGTTCCAGCGCATTACGCAGTACGACAAAATTAAATTCTTTCAATAATTATAGGAAAAATCCAACAGATTATGAAAGTAGATATGAGAATATTGGCGTTTGGGAAGTGTAATTCTCAAAAAAAAAAAAAAAAAAAAAAAAATAAGACATTTTCCCATCGCCCCCCTCTTGCACATTTTTTGTTATTTTCGAATAAAGATTCATTGAATTCCTTTTTAAGGTACACAGCGTTCTGAGCAATAATACAAACAACAATCCGAGTAGTTTCAAGTTTCACCAAATGGTGAAATTCGGTTGAATATAAAAAAAAATGAATTCTATGCGGGCTGATATTACATTTATGGTGGACAATAACCGGAAAATCGGAAGAAGATGTATATCGAAGGTATATAAAAATCTGAACCGATCTCGATAAAATTTAGTAGAGTTAATTTCCAGCTGTATCTCATGTCCGGTAACAAAGATCATTGTTGTGGAATGCATATTACGCATATGAGAGAATTAAACCCCAACTCGGATGAAACATATATATGGCAGTTATAGCTATATCGGAACCGATTTTCACCAAATTTGAAGAACTTGTTTTTTAGAATGAATTCAGTCGGAATTGTCAAGATTCAGTTAATTTGGGCTGATGCTAGGCATTTGGTGCACAATTAACTTAATATCGGATAAAGATGTAAATGGGAGCTATATTCAAATCTGATTCGACCTTTATAAAATTCGACAGATGTATTTCTGAGATGTATCTGATATCTTGTATCAAATATCATTGTTGTGGAATGCATATTATGCATCTAAGGGAATTTAACACCAAATCGGATGAAACATATGTATATATGGCGACTATAGCTATATCGGAACCGATTTTCACCAAATTTGAAGTACTTGCTTCTAGACTGAATTCGGTTGGATGTGCCTAAATTCAGGTCATTTGGACTGATATTGAGCATTTGGTGTACAATTAACCCAAAATCGGTTGAAGATATATATGGAAGCTATATCTAAATCCGATTATCACCAATTTCAATGGAGTTCGTCCTTGGGCCACCCAAATTTTGTTTGGAAAATGTTATCTCAATCGGATAATAAATGCGACCTGCATTTTGTTTACAAAAATACATGGATAGTGGGAATGACATGCATAAATCGACTCAGAGAGCGATTCTATGAAGATCCTCAAATGTAACTATGGGTCTATCACGCTTCCTTCTCCATGTTGCAAACAAATGCACAAATACACTATGTGGTGTAGGGTATAACAATGTGGAGTTTATATTAAAACGTACATCGGTTATCCAATTTTCTGACATAGAAAGCGGTACCCATTAAGAAGTGCAAATATCAAATTTGAAGCAATTGGATTCAAAAATATCCTGATATACCGTTATTATGTGACTATAGAAAATTGTTTCAGAATAACAGGAGATATCTTTAGAAGAAGGGCTATACGAAAACGTAGACCTATATAGAGCTATTTCCGTCTAAAAGGTTAGTATCCCTTTAGAACTGCAAGCAACAAATTTATCTGAATCTTTGAATCTTAATATGTTCAAAATGTGATAGAGAACGGTACTTTCCCCACTCTATTTTGGGATAGTTTTATCTCTATTTTTAAAATCTACTGAGTTTGTTTCTGTAATTACGCCTTCAGCGATGAGCTGATTTAGGTTTTCACGGTTTTCAGACGGGCTGAAGGTTGTCTTTGGAAACGAGCTGAATGTGGTTTTTATAGACTTTATAGGCGAGCTGAAGAGAGTCATTTTAGGCGATCTGAAGAAATTCTTATAGGCACCCCGAAGAGAGTTCCTGTAGGCGATCTGAAGTTTGAAATACCAAATTCATGTGGCTACCATCATAAAAATACCGAATATCGGAAAGTTAGCGTACTATAGGGCTATGCGATTTTTTTTTATACGAAGACATTTTTAATCCAGTAAAATTTTGGGACACAATAGATGTAGGACAAAATTTTACGCATCTAGCTCGATCTCTTCAAAAGTTAGAGTTATCAGCACAGACAGATGGGCATTTATTTATTTTTAAATCATCTTAGAATTTTCTAAAATAGATATTTCGAAGAGTTACAAACGGAATGTCAAACTTAATACACCTAACTTAAATAACCTCTGTGTATGATGGAGGGTATAAAAATCAAGAGCTATCATAACTGTATCGGGGAAGTTTCTAAACCAGTTTCATGTTTGAAGGAGTCTGGGGATTTTAGTTATTTTTTTAGAGATGAAGAATTCCCTGAATTATTATTTCAACTATTTCAGGCAGTCCTTATGGACGACTTGAAGGGAGTCTTTATAAGCGACTTGAAGGCAGCTTTTATAAGCGATCTGAAGGGAGTCCTTATAAGCGAACTGAAGGGAGTCCTTATAGGCAACCTGAAGGGAGTCCTTATAGGCGACCTGAAGGAAGTCCTTATAGGCGACCTAAAGGAAGTCCTTATAGGCGAACTGAAGGAAGTCCATATAGGCGACCAGAAGGAAGTCCTTATGGCGACCTAAAGGGAGCTCTTTGGCGATATTCATTATTTTTTCCCAGGCAAATAAATCCTTAAATTTGTATATCAACTATTTCAATGTCAAATTAGCTACATCATTGACCTTGTAAACATTCAAATTCATCAATTTCATTTCCATTTAATTTTGCTAACTCACAGCATATTTATAATACAAACGGTCCGTAAAGTTTGAATTGCATGACTAGTATTCTTTTTGCTTTTCTTCCACTTCCACTTCCACTTCCACCTCTTCTTCTTATTCTATAATTTCCATGGCAAAACAAATATGTACATTTTCCTACTTTAAACTCGTAAATTCGCCAACCAGTGATGACTAATTCAATATCATATTACTTTTCTAAACATCTCTCTCGTATGCCGGACAAATTTCCGTATAATGCCATTACATAGTTTCCCCCTTTCGATTGCTTGCATATTGCGTTCACATTCCTTCCTTCTTTCTCTCTATCTATCTACTCACCTTCTTCCTGATGAGCTGCGCCCTTACATGGGCCTCGATAATGTGCGATTTGCGCATATCGCCCACACGAAACATTAAACATGGCACACCATCACGATGACATATCACAGCGTTGCGAGAGAACAGCAGCGTCTGGGCTCGCTTCTTTGGACGCGACAGCTTGGCAAAAACAATGCCCACCATAAATGCTTGGATAAATACACCCGTTATACACTGGAGACAAATGGTAAATATCGCCTCGGGACATTCTTCGGTTACGAACCGGTTGCCGTAACCGATTGTGTGTTGAGTTTCGATTGAATATAAAAATGCTGATATGAACGAACGCACCTCGGTCACACACATAGTGTGTGTCATATTTTGTATTAGTTCGGGCCGATTATCGCGATTATCGATCCACTCTAAATCGCCATGGGCATAGGCTATTGTCCACCAGATGAGACCGAAGAAGGCCCACGATATGAGAAAGCTGCAGGCGAAGACGAGCAGCGTCCATCGCCATTGGGCATCGACAAGGGTGGTGAAGATGTCCTGCAAAGACAAGAGAATGCAAAAATGGCGTTGTTTAAAAATAAATGACATGTTGTTAGAGATATTAAAATAAATAAAGCTGTTCGTTTAAACCTAAAAACCTAAAAATTGTATAAGAGGAACTTTTACCTCCTGTTTAGATTATTTTGAGGTGAAAATTTTCGAATCGCCGATACACGTATCTTATACCCATTCTACTTAGGCCGTCTTTATCGATGGGCTGAAGGCAGTTTTAAGAGGCGAGCTGAACACCCGTCTTTAAAGACGAGCTTAAAGCCAGTCTCTCTAAACGAGCTGAAGTGATACCTAATAGGCGACTGAACGGAATCTTTTATAGTCGAGCTAAGTCGAGAGAGTGCTTATAAGCGCTCTTAGCTCGCTTATAAGCACTCTCTCGTCATAATGGGCGAGCTCTGGGCAGAAGGCCATTATTATGGGAGTTCTTATAGGCGACCTGAAGGGAGTCTACAAGTGACCTGAAAGCTGATCTTATGGGAGAGCAGAAGAAAGTCTTTACTTGTGACCTAAAGGGAGTCATTATAGGAAAGCTGAAAGAATTCTTTAAATACGAGCTGAAGGGAGCTCTTATAGGCGATCCGAAGGGAGTCCTTATAAGCGACCTGAAGGGAGTCTTTTCAAGTGACCTGAAAGGGAGATCTTATAGGAGAGCTGAACGGAGTTTTTACTGGTGACCTAAATGGAATCATAGGAAAGCTGAAGGGAGCCCTTATAAGCGACCTGAAGGGAGCCCTTATAGGCGACCTAAAGGGAGTCCTTACAGGCGACCTGAAGAGAGTCCTTATGGTCGACCTGAAGGGAGCCCTTTACAGTCGACCCGAAGGGAGTGCTTAGTCGACCTGAAGGGATTCTTAACAAATGGCCTGAAGGGAGTTCTCATAGGAGAGCTGAAGCGAGTCTTTAGAAGTGACCTAAAGGGAGTCATTATAAGGGAGCTGAAGGAAGTCTTTAAAAAAGGCAACCTGAAGAAGCCCTTAAAAGCGAGCTGAAGAAGTTGCGCTTTAGGCAACTGAATGGAGTCCTCATATGCAGCTTAATGGAATCCCAATAGTATAGATGAAGGAATCCTTACGCACGACCTAAAGGGAGTCTTTAAAAGAGATTTGAAGAGAGTTCTTATAGGCGATCTAAGGAAACCCCCAATAACCCATTTAAGTTAGTCTTTATAAGTTGAAGGGATTGTTCATAGACGGTCAGAAACGGTTCTTTCAGATGACCTTAAGAAAATCGGACAGTAATTCAACATTTAAGGACAGCATACAGAAAAAGTATAACTCTTGAAAAGTAGTGAGTCAATATTCTCCACGTTCGCTTATAAATATTACCACGGACCAACTCTTGGATTATATTGGCTACTCCCTTCGTATTATATAATATATACCAATATTTTTTGAAACTGAAGTTTTGTAAAAAAGGTACCTCTTACAAAGACAAAAATATTAGAAAGTGCAAAATTGAAAGAGAATGGAGGATTTCCTTCTTTAAGAGAGTTATTATTTCTTCAGATTTTGTCCTCATGGAGTATGGTATTAGAAAGAGTCTGCTAATATTTTTTCATTCTTACATCATACCAAAGCCTATATCGGGTTCACTTTGCTCTGTATGAGATTTTGATATGTTGAAATTTTGTAGAGGTATCCTACATATTGGGTCGAAAGTGGTCGGCTAAAGTTGTCCCCTTTCTCCCCTACACCAAGTCTAATCAAAATATCTCCATGTACCAGGTTTTAATAATAATGGATACGTACTTCCATCGTTCATTACATTATTTTCGCAAAATATTGATTTTTTGTGGGGAAGTACCAGAAGGAGTGGTCCGATATTGACCAATTTGTTAGAAATATTGCATGTAGTAAGTTTAGAACAAATCGGATACACCTATAGATATCGTTCGATTCAATATCGACTCTTAAAATGGATATCGTCCAAGAGACATAGGGTCTAAAGCCGTTATTTCGATGAAAACCATTAGGACCTTATAAAATAATATATACCCTCTATAGCCGTATGGCTGGGGGCATAAAAAAATTATTTAATGTTGAGTTTTATTTGTAAACGATGATTTATTTTATGACTTCTATTAAAAAGCAGTCAATATGACATGGTTGATATAGTTGTTGATATTCTTTTCTGAAATGAGAAAAAATCCTCCTTTTGCTTAAAAATTACATTTAATATTATCTCAAAAATATTGAGAAAATTGTGTTGCTCTCTTATAATTTTAAACACCATATATACATTTCTATACTAAAGTCATGGTAGGTAACAGGAAAATCACTATTATTTATTTCTTATTCGAACTAGATACTCAGAATGCTCAGGTGCAGAAACGCCTTACTCAAACATGTGCAACAGTAAGATGTTAGTCATATATTTTTCTCCTTCTGAGAATGAGGCAATTTACGTGCAGTAAATACTTTACTAACATTCTACCGAAATCTAATTTCGTTTAGTTAAGAACTTTTATGAATTCATTAAATAACTCCCACACACACACACACCTTTTGCCAAAAGAGTCTCAAGTTGAATGCTGGGAGTTTGGATACATTGAGAAGCCCGAATTTATTTGGTTGAAAGTAAAATTTTCATATTACCTTTGGAAGCAGATATAAATAATTCTTACGTACAACGTATCATTTTCTATGTTCTATGGAAATATGTCTACAAAATTATTTTAAGAGAATATTTTATAACTTTAAGGAGAAAGTAAGTCTGTATTGAGTTGAATTTAGAACGAATACTTATATTGACCTATGGATATGTTAAGTATTTTGCAATGAATTATTAAATTTATTTGATTAAATGGCAAGTTATTCCACAATCAACAAGAAGAGTTTTTAATGTCATGCCATTAGAAAAAGAAATATTAAAACATAAAATATACTTTTTAAATTAAATTAAATTCAATATATATTTATAAGGTATATGTATCTATTATAACAATCAACAAATTTACAATGACACCACTATTGTTATATGAAAATAAATTGTCAATAGAAAAGTCAATAATAGGAGGTTTGGAAAAAGTCGTTTTAAGAGAATGACCTGATTACATTTCCTAGCCTATTTCTACTTCTCGTCAAATCAATATGGTCCTAATCCTTTATGCCTGCTATTTCATTCCAATATTAAATTGAACAATTTTGTTTGTTTGTTTGAAAGCAATGAAGTGTTGCTTTCTTCGTTTTCTTTTCACTTACCTGCAAATATCTTCGTCTCCGTTTGGCAACATTACCTTGTACCACATTGCAGTCACCATGTTTGAATATCACGCGTTTTCGTATGCGTCGAGAACTAAAACGTGTCTGACGATACCTGCAAATGGATAAAGGGAGAGAATATCATAAGAAAAAGGAAAATATTGAAGAAAATCAATATGAAATTGTAATCGTAAAGAAAATGAACTTTAAATGCAAAAGTCAATAAAGTAAATTGAAAACTAAATTTAGTGTTTTCATTTCAAGGGCTTTCTATCTATGGAAAAAAGTCGAGATTTATATTAAATCCTGTTTGAGAATCTGAATATTATTAAAAAATGAAATTCATGATGAACATTTTTAATTTTCCAGCTAATGTGGCTGTAATTTAATAGTTTGAAATCTTAGAACACATGATTGCAAAAAATGTTTGACATATAAATTGGGATTCACGTGTAAAAACGAGTAAGGAAAAGTCACCATATTTAATTGAGCTCCGCAACGAAAGTATTTGAAGTAGATCATACCATTTCAACATTTGCCTTTAGAGCAGTTATAGTTTGGTTTCAGATGGAACAAATTCTGAATCAATTGTCACTAAATTTGACAGAGACATTTTAATCATTTATACCAAATAACATTGCTATAGAGTGCATGATATCATTTCGGGAAGGATTATTTAAAAAAAAAAACAAAACAAGTAAACAAGCAGCTAAGTTCGGCCGGGCCGAACTTTTAATACCCTCCACTATTTCGAAGGAACTTGAAAATTTTCAAAAAAAAAAAACAGTAAAGAAAGTCTTAAAGTCGGGCGGGCCCGACTTTATGATACCCTACACCACTTTTCTAATTTCGAAGAGCTCCGCATAACAATTAAAAGTTTTTATGGGAGAATTCAAACATACACGCTATGATTATGCTTATAATTTAAAGTTCAAAGGACTAAATATGCCGAAGCATTTGTATCTTTTAAATTCGGACTTGTATTGCCCATTTGGTGCACAATTAATTTGAAATCGGATAAAAATATATATGGGTGCTATATCCAAATCGGAACCGAACTCGATAAAATTTGGCAAAGTTATTTCTGAGCTGTATATGATATATTTCCCAAAATATTGTTGTTACAGAGTGCATATTACGACTACGGAGGACAAAAATAACAAATCGGATGAAAAATATATATGGGAGCTATAGCTATATCTTAACCGATCTTTACCAAATTTCACATACTAGCTTCTAGGCCCAATTCGGTCGTAAGTGCCAAATTCCATCCCATTTGGGCAAATATTAGATGTTTGGTGCACAATAAAAGGTAAATCGGACGAAGTTATATATGGGAGCTATATCCAAATCTGAACCGATCTCTATAAAATTTAGCAGAGGTATTTCTGATCTGCATTTTATATATTTCCCCAAATATTATTGTTACAGAGTGCATATTACGGCTGCGGAGGAAAAAAATAACAAATCGGATCAACAATATATATGGGAGCTAAAGCTATATCTGAACCGATTTCTATCAAATTTGGCATACTTATTTTGAGGTGCAATCTGATAGTACGTGCAAAATTCCATACTATTCGGACTGATATTACACGTTTGGTGCACAATGAAAGGCAAATCGGACAAAGATATATATGGGAGCTATATCTAAATTTTGACCGATTATCTCCAATTTTAATAGGGTTCGTCCTTGGGCCAAACAAATGATTTGTGCAAATTTTCATCTGGATAGGGCAATAAATGCGAACTGCACTTTGTTTACAAAAATACATGGACAGACGGACGGACGGACATGCATAAATCGACTCAGAATGTGATTCTATGCAGATCATCAAAAGGATTTATGGGTCTATCTCGTTTCCTTTTGCTTGTTACAAAAAAATGCACAAAGACATAATACCCTTACCACTATGTGGTGTAGGGTATAAAATCCGAAAACTACTACTTAAATAATATGGGGACTATACGAAAACGTGGACATGGCAGTAGTACCCATAACGAACTTCAAATGCGAAATTTGAAATAATTCCGGGAAATCATGAAAATACCGAATATCGGGAAGTACAGTTTTATGAAGGCTATAAGAAAACGTGGAAAACGTGCCCACAGGTAAACTTTACATGTATGGAACATTTTAGCCTTCTATCTCAATTCGTTCGAAAGATAGCGTGATCACAACAGACAGATGGACAAACAGGCAGACAGACGGACATCGCTAAATCGTCTTAGAATTTTACGCTGATCCAGAATATATATACTTTGTAGGGTAAATTATGAATATTTCGAAAGTTAATATACCCTCCATAGAATGTTGGAGGGTAAAACAATATATCGGAGCCGAGTTTCACAAAATGGAAACGTACGTCCCAAAAATCACTCCATTTGGGCTCCCATGATATATGAGGGAGATATATTAAAATCTTAGTCGATCTCGATAAAAATTTATAAAAGATATTTCAGAGGTCTATAAGATATGTGGTACCAAATATCATTGTTGTCGAATTCATATTACGAATGCCCAAATCGGATGAAACATATATATGGGAGCTATAGCTATATCTGAACCGATGTTCACGAAATTTGATGTACTTGCTTCTAAACTAAATTTGGCTGGATGTGCCAAAATTCAGGTCACTTGGACTTATATTGGCCATTTGGTGCACTATTAACCCGAAATCGTTTGAAGATATATGAGACTTATATCTAAATGTGATCCGATTATCACCAATTTTAATAAGGTTCGTCCTTGGTCCAAACAATTATAGTTTGGAAAATTTCATCTCAATCGGATAATAAATGCGACCTGCACTTTGTTCACAAATATATAATGACGGACGCATAGAGGGACTGACATGCATAAATCGACTCAGAAAGTGATGCTATGAAGATCCCCAAAAATAACATAGGTACGACTGTTTTGGTTTCTTAAAATTTGCAAATGTTTCTCTGACGCATTTTTCTCTGTCGAAACTATAATTATCTGCCGTTATAAAAATATTTATTTATTTTTCTAATTTGACTTCGTGTCATAAATTACAACCTAAGCAAATTCCTTAACTCCCAAAACAAAATATTAATACGCAATTTGCATATTCCAAAATAGTCGGATATGTTTATTACTGGATCCTCTTACACATTATGAGGGTATTTAAAAATTGCCTTAAAATACAACCTCATGGTAAACCTGTGGAAAAGAACTAAAGTTAAATCAATTTGTTGTTTACTTCCGATTTAGTTTCTGCTATTGTAATTAAATACTGCTGATTATGGCTTATTATCATGTTCTTCATCCGTGCTTATTGCGTTTTATTTTTAATTTTCAATTATTTTTCAAATGTTTTACACGCTGTAGATATTGGATTTCTTGTTGGCTGGCAATTATAATTTGCAATTTCTCAGGATTATGACGGTGGCTTCACGTGAAATGACATTTTTTTAATAATATGTTAAATAGTAAAATTGCTGCTAGGTTCTCAAAACAGCTTATTCAAATATTGAAATTAGAGTGGCTGGGAAATGAAATACGTTTCATATTGCACAAAATATTTCATGGTGAAATATGAACGTATTGTTTATGTTTTATTTTAGTTGACAGTTGTTTATGTTAATAATCATTATTTTGTATTTATCGGATGTATCGAATATTGTATTTAAGTCTCTCACACCCGTAAAATTCACTCCACAACAACGATATTTGGTGCCACCTGTGGTATCAGATATACAGCATAGAAACACCTCTGCCAAATTTGTTGGAGATCGGTCCAGATTTAGATATAGTTCCGATATATATCTTTATCTGATTTCTGCTTTCTCTGTAATATCAGCCCAAATTGGATGGATATTGGTTAAAAGTGAAACGGATTTTTTATGGAAATCGATTCAGAGTGGGAAATTCCTCCCATACATAAGTTCCTTTTGGATTCAAATTATAACTGCTCTAAAGCCATAATACGCATTGAAAACCAATCATAGTTGTTTATTTGTTACGGGTAGTTCTACTAAACATTCGTAGTGGTGTAGGGTATCATAATATTCGCCAGAGCTGCTTTTGACGTTTCTTTGCTGGGTTTTCGTCTGATGATATAATAATTGAAAATGTAATTAAAACAAGACAATGTTTATACCCTCCACTATACATAGTATGAAGGGTATATTAAGTTCATCATTCCGTTTGTAACTCATCGAAATAATAATTTTAGACCCAACAAAGTATATATATTCTTGATCAGCGTAAAACTCTAAGACTAACCCTGTTCTGTCCGTCTGTTGTAATAACGCTGGAGTCAAAACGAATTAAGATAGGAAGCTAAAATTTTGCACCGATCTGTCTTTTGCCTGCGTAGGTCAAGTTTGAAGATGGGCCATATCGATATCGTATATCCCCCATATAACGGTATTCCCGATATTCAGTATTTTAATGATTTTAGCCATATTTTTCAATGGAATTTTCTGAAATTCCACACAAGGAGTTCCTTGTGTGTACTTTATCCCCTAAAAGAGAATTGTCTATATAGGTCCACGATATCGGATATCCCCCATATAACTGTACCACCCGATATTTGGTATTTTGTTGATTTTAGCCACATTTTCCAATGGAACTATCTGAAATTCTACACCAGAAGTTCTTTGTGAGCACTTTACACCCTGAAAGGGAATTGTCTATGTAGGCCCACGGTATCGTGCCCCCATATAGCTCTAACTTCCCCATATAACTGTACCTTGCGATATTCGGTATTTTGATGATTTTAGCCACATTTTCCAATGGAATGGTCTGAAAATCCACAAGAGGAATTGTCAGTAATTTAACCCCTGGAAGAGAATTGTCTACGTTTTAGTAAAGCGCCCATATAAGCTCGGAAATATCCGGTATTTTCAGGATTTTCACGAAATTATTCACAGGAATTTCGTATTTGAAGATCGTAATGGGTACTACAACCTATGACGGAAAATTTTTTATGCAGGTCCACGTCTTAGTATAGCCCCCATACAACGGTACCTCCCTTTATTCGGAATTTTGATCATATTAGCGACATTATTCACCAGAATTGTTTCAAATAAAGTATTTGAAGTTCGGGATCGTTACTACAGCCTATGAAAAAATGTTACTCATTC